TGTGTTACCGGAGCAGTGAGACCACCAGTGGTTTTTGTGGTGCCTGGGAGAGAAAGGAGGATTTCACGGCATGGTTGGCAGGGAGCCTTTTAGGAGGGCGTTGGTCAGTGAGGGAGGAGAGCAGGCGTTTCTGAGGGCACCCTCGCGCGCTGCAGACAGAACGGCAGGAGCAGGCAGGGTGAGGAGGGTGTGCTGCTAAATGCCATGCAAGCTTCACATTCCCCACTGCGTGTTTACATGGAGAAAATTCCCTACAGGGTACGCACGGGGGGGGGGCGGAGACAGCTGGGAACAAACCCCGGCAAAAGGGTTTTAAAAGGGAAAAATTCCCCGACGGGGTACCCCGGGGGGGGGGGCAGACAGCTGGAAACAAATCCAGCAATGCCAGCTGGTAAAAAGGAGGCCAAAACCCAACACATCGTGGGTCAGAGCTGCATCTGCTCACCCCCACGTTCAAGGGAGAAGAGCCGTTTCTTCCCTCTCTTCTCAACGCTCATCAGTGCTGCTCCCTGACCCCTTAATGCAGACATCTCCCCAGGGAGGTTGCTCTTGATCAGCAGCTCTTTTGTGGAAAACAACCTGGAGCAGATTTCTAAGAAAATGATGGAGCTGCTGAACAGAGGGTGTATAATTTTTGCTGTAAATAAAACTGCACAGGAGGGCCAAACTGGTTGTGTCTCACCCTTCTTGAGAGGGGTCCAACCGTTGGAGGCCAGGACCATAAATCCATGGTGTCGGCACAAGCATGGGGAGGAAACAGGAGGGTGTCACTCTCTAAAATATGAATCTGAGTGGACTAAAATGTTTTGCAGCAAACAGTCACAGATAGGAAAATAAAATAGCAGATTTTCTTGTTTATGTAAAAGCTAATGTTTTCTAAGCAAGTTTGTTTAGAAACAATATTTTGGGGGTAAGAGCACTTCAAACGCAGAAATAATACTAGTTTTGGACAAACAAAAAAGTTTGTTCAACTCAAAAAGTGCTTGTTCAACACTTTTCAAGTGTTCAGACTGGCCAGCAACTAAAACAAATAGATATTAATGCTTTGCATAGCTTTTCTAGGCACCCCAGTAGGTGAACAGACACATCAGCCAGAAGACTTAGTATTTCCCTCCTACCCTGAAGTCCTTAGTTCCCTGAGCATGCCTGCATGGTGCAGGCACAACAAGCAGGGGCCAACACCAGGAATTTGGGCTGGCTACAGCAGTTCACTTGTGTTTGACTGTGCAAGGCACCAGCACAGTCAGGTCTCTCCTGAATTTCCCCACGAGTTGTACTCTCCTATACTTTTTACTCTGGGTATGGCTATGGATAAAGAACATGGGTGAGGGGAGAGGATCCGAGGAAGAAGGTGACTGGATCTGTAAGCAAGGTGCAGCACTGAAACTCAGGAGCCCTAAACTAAATTCCAGGCTCTGCCACAGACTTTCTGCATGACCTCGGCCAGAATGTTTAATAGCACGTGCTGTTAAGTTTTGTCTCTTCTTCTGCTTCCCATCTGTGGGATAGTAAGAATATTTCTGCCTTTCTACCAAGCCTTGTCTCTCTTGTTTATTTAAGTTACAAGCTCTTCAGGGTGGGGACTACACATACAACACCTACTAGAATAGATTTCTGATCCCAGCTGGGACCTTTTAGGCATGATAATAATAATACTAATAATTGCACTAACCACAGCTGTATTTATACAGATCTGGTGCAGAATCCTTTAGGACCGCAGACAGGGAGATTATTGTCTGAGAGGCATGACAGAGTTGTGATTTGGATTCCCATGGTGGACTAATTCCTAGTACAGAATTAGCCACAAAACAGCCAGGAACCGCACTGAAAGCACAGCACTGCACAGATCTATCCTGAGTGGAGATGTAAATCATGCAGTAGGTAAAACCAGCATCGCCTTAGCAATGATGGAACAGTGAAAGTAGTTGGAGAATGGAATAAATTTTTAAAAGGTAAAAAAAGGGCTGTGTTGCTTACACTTGCAGTGTGGAAACCTGAACTCTTAAGACTGAAAACGGCATTCTGCGCTGCCTCCAGAAGTAAAAGGTCTTTGATCTCTTCTCAAGACGGGGTACTGAGCTAGACAGACAAGTGCGGCAATCCATGCTGACTGTGAGGCAAATACATTAATCTTTAACTCCTCTTAATGGAACACAAGCAGAACTGGCCCTTACAGCTCACTCCCTGCTCTCTGCCTCTCACCAAAGGGTGGATTCATTTGGCTTTGGCGGAGGACAAAAGCCAGGAGCTCAGGGTACACTATCAGACAGCAGGGAAGCACACCCCCCTGTTTTGTCTTTCCTGAAGCGCTAAGCTATTTCATAGAGTCTGCAAATCCTGGAAAAGAATTGAAGTGTCACTTTTCCCTGTCACAGAACAAATCTATAATCATGCATGAGATAGCCCAAAGAAAGTAAATGAGCTTCCAGCTCTGCAGAGAGGTTGGGGGTCTCTTAAAAGAAATTCAGCAGTCTTCACCTCTATTTGATCTGTTAACCCACACCTGTCCCCACAGTAACACTGTGGAAACCACTCAGGTTTAGCTGCTTGGTATGTCTCTCTTAAACTGTAGGATATACAAAATACTACTGAGCTCTGATACAGCCCATTGTATCAGCAAGTCTCAAAACATCTCACGTAGGAAGTCAATATATTTACTTTAATTTTACAGGAGAAGAAAGGGAAGCATAGACACAAAATTGGTCTTCATTCCCAAACCTTTAACCCCTCCCTACGCTGACATCTAACCAGAACAATAGACTTTTGTGCTACCCCAGCTCTCGGCCCCTGCACAGCTCTGCCAAGGGCCCTGCCTACTTTTACTGCGTCTCTCTCTATTTCTCCTCAACAGACACTGCTGTCGCTCCTCAGGAGGCACTAGCTGGTGCAGAAATTCAGGATAGCTTTGTGAAGCAGAAACGTCCCCACTCAGGCTCAGACTGAGCCCAAGCCAAGCATACTTTGGATTCACAGTGAAGTGACAAAGAGCAATAAGAAAATATGCAGATAGACAGACCCTGTTCTCAGAGCCGCTCACCTCTATCGTGGGGTCGTATTCATCAACAAAATGGTTCTGAATGAGCTGTATCGTCAAAGCGCTCTTCCCAACACCACCAGCTCCCACCACCACCAGCTTGTACTCAGTCATCTTCCAGCTGACCCCAGCTCAGGACTCCCAGGAGCACCACCACCTGCAAGGAGAAATACAGACGTCATGTTAGGAGAGGGGTTTGCTTCTGTCTCTGGCTGCTGTGCAGTGGACGCTGCCTGACCAGCTCCAATATACATCAGTGACTGGGAAAGGCAGAAATCTGCAAAGGACAGACTCGTTTCTTGGGTACTGAGTGGCCCCCGTTCCCAGGCATCTGTCCCTGATATCTACTACTTGTCCCAGAAGCACACAGACGCCAGGACACAAAAGTCAGGGACCTACCATGTCACATGCTGTAAAACACAAAGATCACCTAATTCTGCAAGACAGATGATGCAGCGGTGAAGGGAAGTATTCAGAGGGGCCCAATGATACCCAACAGGGCAGCGGCAGAGACAGCAACAAAATACTCTTAGGCTCCCAGTGCAGGGCCTTAGTCCACGCTCCCATTTGAGAAGGTTTTAATGGTCTTTTAAGTTGCTTGACTTCAGTAGGGATTGAGCATGGGGCAAGGCCAATCCACTCCAATCTGAAAAAAAATTTTCTGGATAGCAAAGAGAGAAATATTTCCCCTACTCCTCAGGGGGAAAAAAACAGCAAGTCACAGGGACTCATGTATTTTTTTAAGTAAATTTTCTCTAGCCATGAAATTGTCAATGCAAGGTTCTCTGCTTACATACTGCCATGTACTCTCATCCCAAGCTCCTACACCTGTTCCACCCTGCAAAACACGGCCAGGAAACAGTGAAATGGTGGAATGAACAATGCGCCCCAAGGGTCAAGGACTTCTTCATTCTCCCCATCCAGTACACTGACTACCATGGAAATCTGGCCATAGAAATTTATACCTATTTCCTTCTGTCATCCTGCACTGTGGCTCTAGGATCCATTGCCTTTATTTTGCCTTTATGATCCAGTCCTCTGGGGTCTCAAACATGAGCTAACCTCACCTAAAAAAATGGAACTGCGTCTAAAACTACAGCCCAGAACTGCAGCATCCAGAGCTATTTAATCTAATACCCTCCACTAGCAATCAAGGTTACTTAAAACAATCAAAGAAATCAATGAAACCGAATTTGAAACCATGCACAATGTCTACCCTAGGATACTCTGCAATCCTTCAGGCTGACATTCAGGAGGCAAACTTCACACATACCTAGAGCACGCCACAGGAGGTAAAGGAGCATTTTGCAGATAAGAAAATCAAGGTATAGGCCGTGTAAATCAAAAGTAAACCCCAAAGTAACCGATTTCAGGAGGTCTGGTTTTCCGGAAGTGCTCAGTCCTATCTCTGATTTGCCTTATGTCAAGCTGGTGATCTAAAATCATTAGACAGATTTGAAAGCCTTAGCCAAAGTGATTTGCTTGTCAACACCTCCACACAACAGTAGCAGCAAAGCTGGGAAGAGGTCCAGGCCCCCCTCAAATAAGCTTTCTTAGCTAAATGTTTTCACCTTCAAGGTTAAGTTAAATACAGCCTGCCTTTCGCTCTAGGGCAGGTTTGAGATGGCGGCACACCCACATCCTCTGCCAGGCCTCCGGCTAAAAAATGCCTCTCACCGTACTGGCAATTGCAGGTTGAGACAGAGAAGGACCACAGGTTATTTCCCGCTCCTGAGTGGAAAACAGTCCTGCGGAAGCAGCACATCTATTCCCACTAGACGAAGCTGGCATACACCACAGCAGAGGAGGTTGTTGCTGCAACAGGGAGGGTGCTACCACGAAAGGTGCTATTTGGGAATGCTTAATATGGACAGTTTTAGCCAACCACACTTCTGCAGAAACATGTACCCTTCAACAGGAGAAAATCCCCTCCCCTTCCTCTCTGCCTAACTCCCTTATAATTTCTGCCTCAGTTCTACTGAGAAAGAGGAACTTCAACTTAGCGTTTACGAGAGGAAGATTACAAAATCCTGAAGGTTTAAATAGACATCTGCTCTCATTAGACTGCTCCTCCTTACTGCTAAATGTCACCCCAGGGTCCGATACTGGTCCGTAGCCGTTAACTGCAAGCTTTAGGGAAGCTAACCGAAAAGAAGCATTAGTGCTAGCCGAGCCCATGGCCCCTCTGGCTGTCTGCCGTCCTGGGTGCTCTGTTTGCACACCACCAGCCTGCTCTTCCCAACAGCAAGTGCCACTCACGCTTCCTTGTTTGTTTTTAAAGCTCTGCAAGTGAACTTAGTGCTCTGAGAGGAGCCAGGTGGCATGTACAGCAGGGTTTGCCCGTAGAAACTGCACCCCTCTGCTGAGCCAGGGCACAGCAATTCCCCGATTGTAATAAAAATGCAGCATCTCAACCCAGCTGTAAAAAAACCCTGTGAGCCAAAAAGGCAGCTGTAGCTCTGGGGCACAAGTCCCCCGGCTCACATACCCAGGGATCGTAAACCCGGGCTGTCTCTGCCCTCGCCTCCGAAATTCCCGTCTCCCGCTGGGCCACGGCCAGAGTCTGTGAAACAGCAGGGCGCAGAGTCAAGTCTGTGTTTGCAGAGTGTGGCTCGTGCGTGCGCGGCGGGGCAGGGAGGAAGGCTGGGAAAGCCACTCTTCCATCAGGGCTCCTGTGCAGCTCGACACAGTCCACAACACCAGGTACAATATACAGGGATTAGACGCCCACCGAGGAAGAACACGGTAACTGCTAAATAACTCTACCCTTCAGATGCTAAGCCTGGGGCCCTCCCGTGCCTCTGTGGACGTGTCTCTGCCCGGACAGATCCCTACCTCTGGCTCCTCCAGGCCTAGCCCTTTCCCACAGCCCTCTCAGGGCTTCCCAAAAGCGTGTCATCTGCGATGCTAACCGCCCCTGGCATTGCCCCAGCTGCAGCTCCATCAGCGCCATCCGCCTCGAGCTGCACCTCCAGGTGACCTGGGCCACAGGCCCCTGTCGCAGCCCTGCTACTGCCACAGGCAGCTGCTCGCGCTGAACCCAGCTGCTCCTCTCCACCGTTGCCCGCTCCTGCTCTCTGCGCTCTGCTGGCGCAGACACACAACAAACCGTTTCCCCCCTCCCAGGTTATTTTTCGGCTGGATCAATGCCCTGATCCAGTTCAGCGCAGTACTGCACACCTCCCTGTGCCAGCACAGCACAGGAGCTAAGAACAAGGAGGCTGCGGACACAAACGTTGTTCTGTTTCCAAATACACTGAGTTATATCAGTTATCGGTATCCACGCTGGCTCTCCTGCCTCAGCTCTGCTCATGTAAATGCATGGCTTTAGAAAACTTAAAATATGGAGTCAGCTTCAAGTAGATTGAATCTAATATCCCATTAAACAACTTAGGGTTTGTGGCTTTGTTTTTCTAGCTAATGAGATACTGGAAGACTTTCTCGTCTGTCACAGAAGCAGTGGCCCGGATGCAGAATTTACACTCTTATTTCTCTCCTTGTAACACTGCACTGCTGTAATGTCTTCACTGCAGTTCTGCCAACTCTGCCACATTTTATGAGCAATCTAAGCAATATTTCATGCTTTCCTTAAAACCAGACCCTGAGATTACACAGCATTATGAAGAGATGTAGCGCTCATATTAAAAAAGAGATAAACAAAGAAAAATAACTGTCTTGCCCTCACAGTGGCAGAAAAGGCTTTGAAGAGCAGGAAACCTAGCAGCTCAAAAACAAGTAGACACATTTTAAGAAAACCAATTTAAAAAAAGTAACGTCAAAGTCACGATTCCTGGCTATCTGATGTTGGAAGGCTCTAGTCAGTTTGGTGGTAAAGCAAGCAAGGACCACAGCGTTTTGAGCAGTCTGGAAACACTCAGATGGAGGCCACATCTTCACCTTAAAGCTCTGGTAGCACACAATGTCCCAACAGGCAGGTGATTGTTATCAATATGTTAACACCAGCAGGAGCTCCAGCACAGACGCAGTCTCACGAGAAGAACAGATTTTGTTCAGGCAGCTGGTACAAAGTGTACCAGCAAAGGCCATTATACCTCCAGCCCACGTCTGCATCTGGTGTATTTGCTAACACAGCAAAGATCTAATCTAAAGTGGGCCAAAACTTTCTGACTTCAATCCACATCTGATTGCAGCCTTAAACCACTCAGACAGTTCAATTACCTACTCAAGCTAGGAGCAGTCAGACACAACCATGTCTTGTCAAAGCCCTTTCTTTAGCTGCTATCTCAGTAGTGGAAAGACAAGCAAAGATCCCAGGATCTTGGAGAAAGGCAAGGAAATGACTCTGCAAAGAGCAGCCCGAGCACAAACACAGTGCGAAGCAGGACCACCAGACCCCGCCAGATGCTGTGCCTTTGTCCACTGCTGGGAAAGCTGGAGCTCATTAAATGGGGAGGAAGAAGGGGAAGAGAAAATAAGGTGCAAATAATGTGATATCCTAGATCTATACCCAGACATGCCACTCCTTCCTAGCAAAACCCCATGCATCTCTCTGTTCTTGAGGCCAAGGAAAAGCTGCAGGTTGAAAGCAAGGCTATAACAGAGTGTCTGTTGCACATGATCACATTGAGTGTATGTACATGGCTCTGCTCTGTTCCTGTACATTCTCACATACACAAACAGTTCCACTTCTCAGGGACAAGAGAGATCCCCTTCCCACCCCGGCTTCTAATACCTCTGTGATGGGAAGAGACAATCAACTTGAGGAAAGGACACCGACTGCCAAACTCTGCCAATTCGGCTGGCCCTAGAGGGGATCACTCCTGTAGCAAGACAGCTTCACAGTCCCAAAGCTGAGGGCTTAGAACTGCTCCTGGCTGCCAGAGAGTGGGGCAGAGCGAGTGAGCAGGTATCCCTCTACACAGTCTGTCCAATAGCTGAGGGCAGAGTGGTCCCATAACAGCCGCCGCCTCAGGAGCCCTCCAACCCTCTCCCTCGAGTTCACTGCAGTGGGAGACGCTGCTCAGGCCATCCCTTCTGAGGACCCTCAGCCCACACACAGTCAGCGCAGCCTCTCCTGGTCCAAGCTGCTGTCACCCATGGCAGAGCTCACGAGTGCTGCAGAGCTCATGTGCCAGCCAGGCTGGGGACAGGCAAGTGCCAGGGGGCCATGCAACGCACACCTCCCTCAGGTGAAAGCCCAGGACACAATACCTGTGATGAGACTGTGCCACCTGCTTTCTGCTCGGCCACAAACTGAAGAGAACGGGACACACGTGCTGGTCAGTTTTGAGGCCAGTTTCCTAAACATGTGGTTTACACTTGGTCTTGGAAATAGGTCTCTTGCAAATGGTTTTTAGCTTGCATTACAGCCTGGTTTGAATGCAGTGCCTCGGCCCTCTTCTCAGAGTCTCCGTTTCAGCCCAAAGGAAATCAGGAAAGCTGTCAGGGTGGCTGGGGATCTGCCATCCACCAGCCATGCACAGATAGGCAGACACACGCGCTCTGTTGTTCCCAAGAGCCAGGACAGTTTCCATAGCCAGCTCTTTCCATTATTTCTGCTTTGGCTCTGAAAAGCAAGCTTTTGTGCATTACTGTCCGTCAGCAAAAGCCCCTCGATAGCTGACCAACAAGGCCCTCATTGCACACACCGCTCACTGGAGTGGCTGAGCTCTGCTGCGCTGCAGTGGGGACAACCAAGACACAGATCAAGCCCTGCACATCTCCTTTTCCCACCTCACTCTGCCCCACACAATCACAGCGTAGGGCTTTCAGCTCTGGCTCCCTCAGCAAAACAGGGCCCGGCATTTCCTTCATCCTCTCCCTCCTGAGAGGCAGCAGCCCTTGAAACTAAGGGAGGGAAAAGCTATTGCTCCCCATCACTCACGTCAGGCGCAGCCATCTCCTAATATCTGCTGTCAAAGTGACCATGTTTGTCTGTGTTTCCCACCCCCATCGGGAGGACGGGGAGAAGTTTCAGGTCATGGAGACAACTTAGGCCATTTATTTGCAATTTTAGCAAAGGAAGTTCAGTAAAATAAGTCACAGTAAAAAGCTCTCTGTGCTACACATAGAACAAACCACTACAAACAGTGCTGGCTGGCACAGCACGACTCACTGCTGCAGGGTCAGGAATGTGTCCTCCCAAGGGAAGAAAGGCAGAGCTCAGCCTGAGGCGCGCTGCAATGCAACGGTCAGACTCGCAAAGTTAAGGGAGAATTTTCGGTTAAAGAGTTCCTCAGTCCCTCTTTCTGGTAGCAATTCCCAGGCAGTTTTGCTGAACAGCAAGTCTGAGCGTACTGAAAGTCAGCTCCTCACTTGACAGATACTCTATCAGTCACAGCCTTCTCCACACTTATCTCATGTGTTGCACAAGTTGACGAGACAATTGAAACTGCAGATATAAATGCCAAGACCTTTCACTTAAAGAGCGGGACGCTCTGGCCTCTTGAAAGTGTCTGGTTATGATTTATCTGCAAGAAAAACTTCTAATGAGTTAGAGGTTAGGGCACGATTGGGCTAGCCGAAGTGCACACACACAAAACACAAAGGCCCTCGCTTCAAAGCGCTGACAGTTTCCTTACAAGCACTCTGCATCTGTAGTATTCGTACACTCACACCGTATCTAGAAGACGCTGGTGCCTCAGCTAACTCTTCACTGCTCTGCACTTCATTCCTTGCTCCAGCAATGGCAGCACAGATTCTCTAACATGCAGAGAATGGTACCAAACCATCTCTTCTGCAGCTGTGGAGCTGAGTCCTGCCCACCCTACTGTTTCTCATTATCACTGCAAAATTTATCTTAATGTGGAGTGAGAGTGTGGGCACTGGGCACAGGAGCTTCTGATGAGAGTCTCTAGAATCAGTGTGTGCTTAAAAATCAACAATTTGGAGGAGCTCCTTCCCTTTCCCAGAGTATCCATGATAATCGCTCTTCACAGCGAGCGCACAGACCTGACCACTCATCAGAGCCTGTGCAAGGAGAGTGGCCATATAGCACTGCCATTTCAGAGGTTGAATCCTGCTCTTCGTTGCTTTCCAGACTTGCACCAGACCAAAGCAGAAGCACCATTCCAGGTCACCATCACTGGGACAACACAGTGCAGTCCAGAGCCAATGCCACACAGATCCTTTTGCAAAAAGTCTTGTCCCTACACCTACACAGGCTTAGAAAATAGCTTCCCAGATGTGTCAGGAGGGAAGGCCGAATATATCCATTGCAGATCCAACCTAGAAGCTATCAGAGTTGGTTTCTGCCAACAGAGGAATGCTACAGGCGTGGGAACCTCGCCAAAGGCTGCAGGGGAAGTGGGGATTTCCTTGCGGCCAAACTTTCTTATGTAGCTGGGCAGCTGGTATTATTCCCAGGTTGTAATATTACTCCTACCGATAACACCTAGCTTCCCATCACAAGCATCACATTCTCTGCTTGTGAAGCAAACTTGAGCCTTGCCTCTTCCACAAGGCCTGTCCCAGGCTGCAGCTAGCAGTGCTTCAGTGGTTGCTGCAGAGGAAACCAATGGATTTTCTTTTAGACAAAGGCAATTCTCCTCACTCCTTCTCTGCCTCATCCCATCTGTACAAAATCCATTAGTGGCTGCAGGGATCATGCTGCATGTGGTTGGGTATCAAACTGCAGACATTAGGAGCTGTAACATGGGAAGAGCACAGATATCAGACTCATCAGTGCATGCACAGGTTTCAAGAGGTGGATAGTTGTTCCTCAGTGCCTCCTGCCATGGTGAACAACCCCACGTAGTCTGGCTCAAGAAACCCTTCCTTCCAAAGATAATATTTCTGGCTTTCCCAAGAAGGGGAGGTAGGGAAGAGCAGGGAATTCTGCCGGAGAGATGGTAACAGACCCAAGTTACCACACTCAGCCAGGGACTCACCGGATGGGAATTTACAGCCTGTTGATTGTTGTGAAAGCCTTTTCTGGTGTGAGATTTTCCAGAGGAGGAAAAACTAGAGGTTGCAGTTCTCAGCAGCTAATGCAGATCCCAGACAGAGCTGACCAAAAAATAACAGAGCAAAACATGAGAGCACAGTTTCTCGGTCCCACGCTAAGCAGCAATAGTCTGAGCCTAAGCTGGGTCAGCTGTCCGTTGCTCTCCCTGCCCATCCAAAGCCATCACCTCTGTGGTACCTAGCACCCTTCTTAACTGTTGGAGCACTGGAAAGCTGTGCAGGGCTGTCGAACAAACAGCCAAGCAAGATGCCACAGAAGAGAGCCATTCAGGAGCACTGTCTGGGGAGAAGTAGGGCCGGGATGTGAGTGCCAAGCCAGCAGCCCTAGCATGGAGCTGCTGCTGTATTTCCTGACCTCATGGATTTTCTCCCGTAGAGAGAGGGCTCCTGGCTCCCATTCAAAGCTGTCTAGGAAAGCCTAAGCGAGTGCTTCCGCCTGGCAGCAGCAGCTGCTCCCAGCCCAGTAGCCCATGAATTCTCCCCCGCCTCTGTGGATTTCCCAGGCAGCGGGAGCAGCACAGCTTCAGGAAACAAGGAACATCTGCCAGCCTTGTACAGGGAGCAGGCAGAGCAAGTGCCTTGCCCCAACCCCATGCCTATTCCTGGGTGGGCGCTTGCATCCTACCTTTGCCTCAAAGGGAGGGGAGGAAGGCATATCCCCTTAACTCCTTCTGGGCCTGAGCGTGCCAGGCACTGAGAGGCAACACAAAGGCTTCGGCTGCAGGAGCTAGGGCTGAGAAGCTTGATAAAAGCCCTTGCAGGTGAGCTTTCGTGGGGCTAAGATAGAACAGCACTGTCAGACCTAAGGCAGCTGAGCATAAAGGTTAGAGATGTTACGCAGGTCCAGCTATGTCCCTGCTTCGAGCTTGTCCTGCACAGAAGAGCCTGACACTCTGCACAGTCCCTTTTTGCAAACAGGGAGACAGGGTTTGGGGGCCTGACAGATTACCACAGCTGAACTCACAGCAAAGCTAGGACAGCCCGGAAAAATCTTCTGAAACATGCTTGGTGCGAGCAGAGGGGAGGCACTCGGAGGCTTGGCCCATCCAGCACGTCCCATCCTGTCAGTATAGCTTAAAGGAAAGCTCAGGTGTCAAGGGAGAGGGATCTGCAGTAGATTCTCAATGCAGTCACTGTTGAGGAGCCTCTTACACCCTTTAAACAGGATCACAGAAGGAGCTTTCTCTGCTTCCTCCCTTTCCTCCCATTGCCTTGTTTCTTCCCAAGATGAACACAAACCCAAGCACGTGAGTCAAGAGGCAGGTTTTTGTGCAGCACTGCTATATTGACGCTAACTACAAAGGAAGTTTTACAACTGCTCTTCATTACTGAGCATACTAAAATGATATTTAAACTCTGCTTGTCAACTGGGAAGCTTTGCATTTAAAGACATCAAAAATCAGTTCCATCTCTGCAAATTTCAAGATACATCTCAGATTGGGTGCGCTTTCTTCCAAAAGCCCTGTACACATGAGCTGATGAACCTGTAGACTACAAACACTTCAGTGTTTGATCTTATTTCCCTTCAGCAGAGATGCCTTGCAGGCAGAAGTGGTCTATAGTTCTCCATAATGCTCATCTTAGCTCCTCATCAGCAGTCTGGGATGACACACTCGCAATTTGAGAATTCTCCCTGGTGATTTTAAAACACTGATAGGGCAAACCTTGCTGGCTCACCTCTGTTGCTGTCTAGGCTCCTCCATTTCCTAGTGCACATCACTGTCACCAACATCTTAAATACAGCTTTTGCAAGGACTGAAAGAACCCCTCCAGTGGCTTGAAATGCCACCTTTGTTTTCATTCAAGGATCAAAATGCTGGTGTTCTCAGTGGCCTGCCCAGCCTAAAAGAGATTAGGGAAATGAGGCTGGCAAGCTGAAGCTCTGTTACGAGTCACAGCCTATCCAATGCTTCATTTTAATTTACTTGTTGCTTTTTAAATTAACAAACAAGTGGGCTGCAAATCTATCACAATGTGCTTGGCTGTTGGGTTGCTGGCTTTATATTCACAAACTCCAGACAGCACAGCCCACAGCTGAAAAGAGAAAGGCATGCCAAAGATGAAATAAGAGCTGCAAATGGTGGCTGTGCTTTGGAGAAACAACTTGGAGATACTAAATGCCTTACACTTAGAAAAAAAGAAAAGCCTACAAAGAACAGAATGGCTTCCTCCGTCCTTTGCAAATTCTTGAAGATCTGAAGCAACAGACAGTCTGCCCCAAAAGGCCAAAGAGCAAAAATATTGCTCCAGAGGAGGAAAAAGGACAAGAATGACATCATGTAGGAGGCTTCAAATATAGGCACCCATTCAAGGAGGCGCAGGAAACTCTGGAGGAAGAATAGCAGAAAGCTCTAGGCAGTTTCAAGGTGCACGCAAGGACTAAAAGAGAGTGATTGTCTCTCCACAACAGTCATAAACATGTCCCAGCACCAAGGTGCGAGCCATCGCCTTGCACAAGGTTTTGAACAGGCATGGACGGGTCTTCGCACTGGGCCCAGCCCTTGCACAGTTTCTAGTTTAGGTGCCTCTGGCAATACAATCCCTTTGCCAGAACCTACCCAAGCACAAAGAACTTGTCAAGTCCCTGCTCTTCTTCCCTCTCCATCCCACTAACATATCCGGCAGGCAACTCAGCATCTGAAGCTGTCACTGTTTTCCTAGGAGACAGATAGCTGGCAGGAGTCTGTGCCCGTGTGTGTGACTTGCAGGTAGCCCCTCATCACACAGGCCAGAGAGATGGGAGGACAAAGGAAAACAGGGCACCATTCCCGCTAAAAGAGCTGCCAGTTTTCTATTTTCTGGTTTGTACTTGAGTTGTTCATATTGCACCTTGTTTGGTATTTTAATGATATAAAAAAGCAGCACAATCTTCTGCTATTAGCAGTGAGCTGGCCTGGCTATGCTGTTCTTCCTTTTCCTCCCAAATTGCAAGTTGAATAAAGTTCTTTGTTGTCTGCTTACTCTTTAAGAAAAACAGCTGGTGGTCACAGCTATGCCTAATGGTTTTATTAAACTACTGAAAGCAGCAACCAGTCTACAGAAGTCAGTAACATGATAAACACAGCTTACAAATCAGCTATCCCGGAGCTTTCTGTCTGAACTGATAATCAGTGAAGGAATCACCCCTTAGCCAATACAGGTCATCAAACCGATTACACTCGAAAGATTAGCAGGTCCCTTATCACAGGAGCTTATACAGCAGAACAACAGCAGCCTTAACAATCTGCAATATAGCACTACAGTCTGTAGCAAAACACGCCCAATGCAGAAAGCAGCATTTGCAATCAGATTATCATTAAAACTTCCATTCTTGGCCTGCATGCGAGCACAGACAACTTCCTTAATTTCCTTTGTTACACTTACATTTGCCTCCCTGGTGTGGGGGGAACTTTAGTGGCATGAAATGGCTAAAGGATCCCCTCAAGTCCCTGGGCTGTTCCACGCCAAAGCCACCATCTCCAGCATCACAGATGTGGCACAGGGAGCCATAAGCCTCCAGGCAACTCTGGCAGGTGCTGTGAAATGCATGCAAACCGTGGTGGGATCTCCACCGCCTGCCATGACTGCTCTCCCCTTCTCTCTGAAAGCAAGCAGCCCATCCCAAGCAGAGGACATGTCCCATCCCACTGCTGAACATAGACCCTTATAATGGCAAGCATGTGGGCGACACCTCCTGGGCTAGTGCCCAATGTGATTAGCTGAGAACACGAGTCACATGCGCGCCTGGCAGGGTCCTTGGTTTAAAAAAATCATCAAAGCCAGTTTTTCAGTTATGCCCATGATAAATGGCAGCTCTAACTCTTAAGCGCTCCTTGGCTCTCTATACAAGCAAGAGCAGCAAGCATAAGGAAAAAGGAGATTGGAGTTTTGACTGAAAGTCTGGGTAAAGGTGAACAAACGAAGGCCAAAACATAGCTACAAAGTAGGTTGGGACAACAGGGGACGATTAGATAATGAAAACAGAGCACTAATCTGGCAGTCAGAACCTACGCTTAGTGTTGACTCTGCCGATGCATGTGGGAAAGTGGTGTGGGGGAGGAAAAGCTCTCACTGCTGAGATGCGGATGACTGTAAACCGCCACGGCTCCTCTGCTTTCATCTACTTCCCTGCCTCCTGGAGCCAAGCACGTGGTTCGGAGGCAGACACTTCCCCCCTTGGGCAGGCAGCACTCGACATTACCCTAGAACAGCAACTTTTACCCGGACCTCTCAGCCTGCTTTGGAAAAACAAATGAAGAACACACTTTGCATGATGGATAGGCCTGAACAGTAACAGAACTCAAGAGAAGAGCCAGCATTTGGTCTTACTTTGCATTAAAATCCCATTTATAAATCATTGGTGAAAGGTAGCGTGATATACCTTCAACATATGAAGGGATGCACAGGTACCCTAGGAGAGTTACAACAAGACCCACATGACAGATGATAACAACTACAACTGCTAAAATGTGTTGGCAATCCTGAACCTGGGCTCTAAGCAGTCCTTTGACTTGCTGGACTCGGTACCAAATTGTAACACATTATTTCCCTCCCTATGAATACATCCGCAAGACATAAGGCACAATGGAGCATAAACTTGGATTAGATACGTATGTAGCTCCTATGTAAGCGTATCTCTGGAAATACAGTTATTAACATCAAGCTTTGGAACAAATGCTGCCCAAAAACAGGGTGAGAATTACAAAAGACACCGTCTCTCGGATGGTTATTCTACAACGGCCTTTCCTAAAGTATCTTAAGACTTTCACTACAGCAGCTTCGTTCACTCAGGGATTCGTGGGTTGGTCCAAGCCTGTGGATGCTTCCGTTCAACTCGCTTCTGGGGGATAAAGGAGCAGGGGCAGGCAAGATGCCAGGGAAAAGTACAGCATCTCCCAGGACCAACGAGTCTTCCTGCCATGTTGTTGCATGTCGCAGCAGCCTGGCTCTCTGTTGCCTATGCAGCAGATTGCTACTGCAACAGCATAAGAAGGGGCAAATTCAGATATAATCCCCTAGCCACAGAGATACAAAAAATGGGGCAGCCGATGCTATATCAGGGGATGCTGGCCACGTGCAATGACATTTGTGACAGAAACACTATCATTCTCCTCATTTTACAGACAGGCAAAGTAAGGCAAAGAAATCAAAGGACTGGCCCAAAGTCATCAAGCAACTGGGTGACAAAGCTGGGAACTAAATTCAAGCGACATTACTTCCCATCCTGAGTCTTAAACACTCAGTCCCACGGTGTACAAGGCTACTGCAGCAACTGGGCAACAAAAAGCTCCATGTACAGATTTTGGATGGGAAAGCTGCTGGTCTCCCGCTGGGTCTTTGTGTTTGACTGTCACAGCTGGCAGCTCCCCTGTAGAGCTGAGCTTCCATTTGCAGAGATGTTTGGAGTGGCAGAGCAAATCACAGGCGGGAAAGCCCAACCTGCTCCGAGAGGAGCCCTGCTCTCCAATTATCCTAATGAAATCACAACTGTGTCACAAGCACAGGGAGGGCACCGGCAACAGGCAAAGACGTGGATGCTCCGATGCACAGAATAGAAGAGGCGGAGAGGAAGAGACTAGCTGACACCGAAACAAGCCGGGGCAGCAACCATCAGGACTGACAAAGAAAGGGCCATATTTAGTGTGCTCTATCGAGGTCACAGACAGCATTTGGCAGCTGAGACATGCTTTTGCCTCAGGAAGAGACTTCCTCCCTCCTGCCAGAGTGCCCCCCCAACAGCCCCTGCCAGCAAACAGCAGAGAGAACGGGGATAGTTCAAAGAGCAAATGCGCTTCCAGTTTCAAACTTCTCCGTGCAGGAGGGTTAGCATACAGTGAGTGCCATTTCTGCAGGAGGGCAAGAGTCATGGTCAAACAGAGACATATGTTATACAGCTCATCTAAAAGCAAAGAACAGCCCAAGCGCAGTGTGTCTGGAAAAGCACTGCACACGCTGCTGGGCTGACAATGTCTGCCAAGACCAGAAGATGAAGGCTAAGTGCCAAGGCCTTGGAGACCAGCAACTGTCTCTCTACACACCACCAAACACATTGCCAGGGAAGAAGTTGCTTTGTATCGTGGTATGAGTTGGTTTCAGGTTTATGTTAGGGCTGTTTTCTGGTCCTGTCACCTCTAAAACACAACCACAACTGGCATGGAAAAAATCTCAAAACATCACCTCATAGAGGGATTTACAACTGGTCGGGTAGCTTTCGCTGAGTGTGAGTACACAATAGATAGGGCACGTCATGAAGGAAATGAGCCTGGCCGGAACTAGCAGGAGGAATAAAGACCACGTGGCTCTAGCCAAAGCCAGCTTTGTCCAGCTGGGCTTATTAATGTGGTCCTAGCAGCGGGGGCAAGAAAACAGGGTTGGCAGTGAGGAAATGCAGATGCAACAAATAGGGCTGGGAGCAGAGAGGGAAGCTGAGCATCAGGGAATGCAAGCTCACTGCCATTTTTCTCAGGTGAAACATGGCTCCAGAAGAGGAGAAAGCCATTGGCTTAACGTGACCTTGTATGTCACATAAGGAAAGGACCTGACCTGAGCATAACCATCGTTTATTGGACTAAAAAATTATAACCTGCATTCAAGAAAGGCATTCCTTCTTCAAGATTTCCATTCTCCTTTCCCTCCTCACTCTTCCCCATTCCTCCGAAACAACTGCTGACAGGGAAAAATTAAAAAGCTAGCTTCAGGAAACGCATCTAAGCCATTTTCATTTAGAAGAATTTGCAATGGAAATAGGTCCGGCTGCTCAGCTTCCTGCTTGCTTTAAATCCTAACACAGATGCAATTTTTTAGCAAAAAAATGGACATGGAAACAGGGTTTCTGCAACTGGGAAGTTTCAAAAATTGTTTTGATAATGCTTTTGATCTTTTAATCCCTAAAAAAATATATTTCTTGGGAAATGACCTTTTAAAAAAGTTATTTTTTGGAGCAAAATAATATTACAAGAATACTGGTAAACTCTGATCTGACGGAACGAAACAGTGCATGAAGCACATGCCTTATCTTGCCACAGCCACTGCAGCAGAAAGGTCCAGAACCAGAGGAACAGGGAATGGGCGGAAAGAAGTGCAACTTGTTGTTCAGTAGCTGAAGAGACAGTGAATTAATATCTTAGCACAGCACCGGCCTTGGTTCCTTAACAACTCCCAGTGACACTCACCCTTTGGATGGCTAACCAGCTCGGCAGAGAAATAGGGTCCTCTTGTCTGGGGATGGTTCAAGTCCCCCTAGAAGGAGAAGAAACATAGAGGAGTGAGAGAAAATGACAGGCCCTGGCTCTGCAGAGGAGAAACAATTTTACACAAATGATCAAGTGCCTGTATCAGCCACCACCCCCACAAGAAAAGGGAATTGCACACCGGTTGCACAGGATACACAGCTATGTTAGAGCTCCATGAAAACTCCCTGTGTAGTCAGTGGAGGCACCTGACTAGTTGACTGAAGTAAGTAAGGGAACCACGCTCTAAAAGTGCCTAAATCTCTGCACTGATGCCAGCGGGAAGCCTAGGTGATTGCCTCGCACAGACAGCTAGCTCTACAGACGTCCCACCGGTGCCAGCAGCAGGGCTGGACAGAGTATCCAGGACAGCACCTTCCCGAACACAGGGCTCAACAGGCCCCAGACTCCTGGCTGGCCTGGATGGATTCTGATCGGGTTATTCTGTGAAGTGCCAGAGTAGACTGTGAGAGCATCCACGCTTTGATGCAGCCGAAGACTACCCTCCCCTGACAACACAAATATGCTACTTCCCTTTAATACTCGCCAAATGTCCAACTATTTTCAGCTCGGGGGATTTCCTGGACCTGGCGTGGTTTGTCTATTTAGCAACCCTCGACAGAGCTCTCCTCCAAGCACTTGTCTGGCCTCCCTTGAAGCCTTGTAAGCTCCTTAAATCCACAACATCCTTCAGCAAGGAGCTCCACAGGTTTACTAGTACCCCCGTGGTGAGAAACCATCCCCTTTGTTAGTATCAAATTTGGCTCCCCCACTTCCCCACTTCTCTCACACATGATATCACAGAGCACTGTTATATCCTCCAAGTTGTGTCTTTTCCAGGAAAAGGTGGCACAGCTGCTTTTTCATCATTTTTCAAGATAGAGGGCAGAGCAGGCACAGTCACAACAGTCTCTTCTCTGCGCTGTGGGCGGTTGCGAGTGAGGGAGCAACAGGACAGTCCATCTTAGGATGAGGGGAAAGGAGGGGGTCTGCTTCCAAAGTGTCTCCTTTATTAGCAAGTCATTTAATTTATGTGATCAAATGTAATGATCATTTCCCTGCATCCACTTAGCCCTTGCAGAGCCCTTCCATGGTAAAGAGCAAACCTGCGGGGCTTGCTCTGGCATAGCTGGGAGAAGGAAATGCATCCGAAAAGCAAGTGACGGTGCATCTTGGGGAGCCAACGAAAAGTGGGCAGCTGGGAGAAGAGATAAAGGGAGGACAGCAGGGAGGCTACTGCTGAGACTCCCCTCTCATTCTCCTTCCCCGGGACACTTTATTAACACAGTGACATGATGCTGTCCCAGCTGAATGGCTGTGCTGCTAGCAAGCATGCATATGCATCGGCCATTATGCAGCGGATAGTCAGGGGCACGCCACTGATTTACAGGCTGAGTGGGTCTGCTAAACAAATCCCTTTTTCACCCAGCACATGCTTGGGCTGGCCTCCTCGCTCTGCAGTGGTCATGTTCTCACTGACAGGTGCCTGGGAAAGCGGGGCCCAAGGCAGGAAGACAAGGCACACAACTCGGTCAACCAAGTTGCAGAGGAGGGGAAAAGCGTGGCGAGGCATTACACAAACACACCTAGGTCAGAGCAAACATTTCTCCTCACAAGACAAATGGAGGCACGTGGCCCAGGCAGACACTTCCGAACTCAGGTGTGCCAGGGCATGCGGCTCGCTCTTTGCAGACAGCCTCTTCAAATAGGGTTGGGGTGACATGCCCAAGCCTGCTCTTGTTCAAGCTATGCCAGAACAGACTTAGCTGCTCTAACACAAGTTTCCTCCCCTGATGCTACACTCGCAAGCTGTAACTTGGAGTACAACTTCCGGAGCTCATCAACAAGGTAGGCATGGAGCATGGCTGGCAGAGTTCTGGAGAAGAGCTCATACATCTCTGAATCCACCCCCTTGTCAGTGAGGGTGAATTAATCAGACCTGCCCAGGTCTGAAGCCAGGCAGAGGCCATCAATCTGCGGCGCATGCAATACTGAGCAATTATCACACAGCAGCAGTTTGACCGAAAGACAAAGGCCTAAAGGTTAAGGCATCAGATCTAAGTTTGGATCAGATCTAAGGCTGGGTCTTGGATTACCCAAACCTCACTCTGCTCCTCATGGTAAATCAGACACAATAGGACCTTTTTCTGTGACGCTTGCGTTCCCTCCCTCTGCAGCAATCTGATTTTAAAAAAGCAAAGCGGTGTTGCTGTAGGTGGGTTATTTAAATGAATCACCATCATAGCACAGATCTGCTGCAAATAAGGCTCAGATGTACCAACTACAGCCCTCCATACTGAAGAAGGAGGAATCTCCCTCTTTTGGCTCTGGAGTGACAGATGACAGGACACCACACAGGAAGTCCATCCTATGCAATTGGTACTGCTCTGCCTGTGTTGCAAGCGTAGTGGCATCAACCTAACAAGACATATTCCTCTTCATCTCTCAGTGGCCTCCATGTAGGTTTAGGTCCTTTATGTATCCCAACTGAAGAACTGTCCTCCACAGAGAATTCACAGTGTAAGCAGATCAAAGAAATAAAAACTCCACTTTGCAATGAGGAACCCACAGCCCTTAAGTGACTTGCTCACGGTCACACAGGAAGCTCTTGGTAAGGCTGGGGATTTCTGATCACCCAAGTTGTAGCTTTTGCCGCAAGATTACACTTCCCATCAATGGCTGTGGCTGATTATGCAGGGGACAGAATCATAACGCCTCCGTCACGTCACCTCTGTCACAACCTCCAGCATCTAGTGGCAAAACTGCATGATCAGCAGAAGTGGAGGGGTGGGGGTGGAGGATATTTCCTTCCAGAGTTTCCTTAGGAGCCTGCAGCAACAACGACATGCAGGATTTGGGCAGGCTCATAGCCAGCATCCAAAGGCACATTAAGGCTGAAAAGAAACCACAGGAAAGCAAGACACCAAACCTGCATGGGATGTGGCTCTACTCAATGCAGAAGTCAAATGAAGCCTGCCAACCTAACTGAGAAATACACAAAGCCATTCTGAGAGCTGCAGAGCCACTGAGGTCCCTGTGATGAGGCCTAAAAGTTAGGTACCTAGCTATTCTAGAATTCCCTAAGGATCTAGGGCATCTTGTTTTCCCCTGAAACTTAATGCTAAGTAACTGATCCCCAGTCACTCAGGATGTCTCTGGTAGAGGCAGCAAATAGGCCCAGGGTTGGATGAACCATTTTAGTCCAGAGCCTGGCCTCCCCGCTGCATTTCTCATGGTAATCACACCCCCAGAGACCCTACTCCCCATCTTTGACTCAGTTTACTTGTTGTTCTACACAGACATACAATTCATGAAGGAAAGGACAACACAGGGCTCTCATCCTCCCTGGACCAACACAAAAGCACTGCCAAGTGCTCCTTTTGGTCATATTAGCCACATTTCCCATTCTGAAAGAGGTGCAATACGAACCAAAGTCAGCATGCAGACGCTGCTGTGAGCACAGCTCTATCAAGGGCACATTTCCATAATACCCCGAGCTCAGGGAATGACAACTCTCTGTGAAAAACAGTCAGACAGATTATTCATGAAGTAAAATGAACAAAAAAAATATGCAAGGGAGTTTGGACACAGGCTGGAAACAGAAAGAAGAAACATCTTCAAAGTCTTTAGAGAAAAAAACGTCTAGGGTAAGAAAAGTCTGCAAGTCCCCTGCTAACCTAAATGTCCTTTTTTCAGACTTGGCAATGTCCATCAACCATAGATCAAGCTTTGCATGGCTAACTCCCCAGGCAGTCCCATGTAGCACCAAGAAAAGGTCACACACACTAGAGACAAAATGAGGTGTAGGCAAGTGCTGCTTGTAAAGCCAAATTGAAACTTGCCAGACCAATTTCTGTGCAGACAGAACAGACCGTCTCTCTCTTTCGCTGCCTACCCAATTAAATCTCTATAAGCCACTGCACCACACACTTGAGAATGCTGCATATGCTGCTGCTAATTGAAAAGCACTAGATCATAGTGTCCCAGGGTCACAGGGCACTTGCCAGGGAACGTCTGCTTCCTAAACGGTTTTCCCTGCGGCAGCACTGTCCAACCCAGGAGTCTGCTCCTCCGTAGCCGCGTGCGCATTGGTGACCCGGGGGGGCAAACACTCGGGTGTTCTGCTCCGCACAGCAACATCATTCCCCAGCGGCTCCCAACACACAGCAGTGCCGTACATCACACGTAGAGACTGAGCCAAGATCATGCAGCTAAACGCTTTCAGGCAGAATGGAAACAGCGGGCTAAAGGAGGAGAAGCTGCTAAATAAAAAGACAGGGGATATGTAAGTTATTCAGAGAAATTAATATAAAGCATAAGATGTTTGGCACACAACTGATCTTAATTACATTAGCAAGAATAAAAGAGGAAGCCAGAGGACTAAAGCAGTGATTTAAAGCGGCACTGTTAGATTTCATATACACAAGCATAGGCACACTTTCTTTCCTTGTATTGTTATTACCACTCTAGATAATCACACTGTTACCAAAAAAGAAAAAAAAGAGAGGATTTTTGAAATTTCAAACTATAATACACTTCTCAATATGAACAGAGTAGAAGAGTAACTTTTAAGCTGGCTCCCAGCTCAGAGAATTTGACTAGCACAGCATTAAGAGATTATTGGGCATGAAAGATGTTATAGAGGACCCTCATATAGCCCACAACCATCTTTTACTCTTTTCAACGGCAACCAACTTTGGTCCCAGGGCAAGGTCTCAACCGGCTGGGTGTTCTGCAAACAAAAAAAACAGTTCCTACTCCAAACTTTCCCCTTTGGAGAATTACTTTCTATTAAAGTCCGAGCGTTCCTTCTGTCCATACAACACTCAAATCTTTGTCTTCCGAAGCCAGCAATTTCCCTAACACCTTGCAGCAATAAGGTGTCCCCAGGCTATAAAATTACTTCTTTTTTACCAGGCTTGTATACAAGACCTCCCAATTTCTTTCCACGTGGCTCTCTCTCTCA